GATAAATCTGATTCCAATTTTTTTTTCAAGCGAATCTGAGTTTGTTTGTTTTATCCTCTCTCTGTTTTCATGTCCGCGAGGATTTCATTTCTGAAAAAACCCGATCTTTGCAATCACTTATCTGATTATAAGCTTAGATATGGTACGGATGGTTACAAATCGTTCCAGAATTTGTTCAGATGCTTCAACGATGGTAGAATTAAGATCAAACTTCACGAAATCGAGATACCCAGATGCAGTTATTGTTCGGTTTATCACAAGAGACTCTACATATGTTTGATCTGTCGTTTGGTTTCTTGTTCAAGTCATATTCTTTTGCATACCCAATCGAATAAAGGACATGATATCGCCATTGATGTCGAAAGATCTGAGCTTTATTGCTGTTCTTGCATCGATCAAGTGTACGATCCTGAGTTCGACGAGGTTGTCGTGTCTAAGCAGCTTAGTGGTTTAGGTATGTCTGTTAAATCCGGAGCCGATGTTGTTGTTGCTACGGTTAGATCGAACAAGAAGAGGAGATTGGATTCGCAATTGATTTTAGGATCGAAGTTTTTGGTCTCGCCTAGAGATCGAAGAGAGAAGTGGTCGTTTCCTTTGGGGTTGAGAGGTTTGAACAATCTAGGAAGCACTTGTTTCATGAATGCTGTGTTGCAAGCACTTGTTCATGCTCCTCCTTTGAGGAACTTTTGGTTGAGTGGTCAGCATAATCGTGATCTTTGTCCGAGAAGATCAATGGGTTTGTTGTGTTTGCCTTGTGATCTTGATGTTATCTTCTCTGCTATGTTTTCTGGTGATCGGACTCCATATAGCCCAGCTCATTTGCTTTACAGGTTCGGGTTTTCGAGTTCTATACAAGCTTTTCTAGAATTTTAGAGCCATTGTTGATGCCACATTGTTACATATGTTTGTCTGAGTTTGTGAACTTTGAATTTATATCTTCATAGACATTATGTGATACTGATTTGGGTTTTTTTTTGTGGATGAAGTTGGTGGAAACACTCAACGAATCTAGCTACGTATGAGCAGCAAGATTCTCATGAGTTCTTTATATCGCTGTTGGACTGTATCCATGAGAATGAGGGGAAGTCGAAATGTCTGTATAAAGGTAGTCTAATTGGTTTGCCTTGAAAACAATGTTGCTCCCATCATCTTTGTCTATTGTTTGATTGGTTTTGGAATACTGTGAGTTGATGAAACTTTGAAGAGGGATTTTGATTTGATGTTTTTCCCTTTTGATACCGATAAGTTTGTTTGTTTGCTCGGTGTGCAGATCATGAGGAGTGTCAGTGTATCACTCACAGAGCATTCTCTGGTCTTTTAAGATCAGATGTCTCCTGCACAACGTGTGGATCCACCTCAACAACTTACGATCCATTCATCGACATTTCACTTACTTTAGATTCAGTGAACGGATACTCTCCAGGAGATTCTAAAAAGAGCAGAAACAGTGGTGAACCAAGCGTGAACGCAACCATGCCAACTCTCTCGGGTTGCTTAGATTTCTTCACAAGGTCAGAGAAACTTGGTGCGGACCAGAAACTAAACTGCCAAAGCTGTGGAGAAAAGAGAGAATCTTCAAAACAAATGTCCATAAGAAGACTTCCTCTGCTTCTTTGCTTGCACGTAAAGCGTTTTGAGCATTCTCTTACCCGTAAAACCTCGAGAAAAATCGATAGCTACTTGCAGTATCCGTTCCACCTAAACATGTCTCCTTACCTCTCGTCCTCCATCATCGGAAAGCGGTTTGGGAACAGAGTCTTTGCCTTTGATGGAGAAGGTGAGTATGACGGTTCATCATCATCATCGGCATCAGCTGAATTTGAGATATTTGCAGTTGTAACTCACTCGGGGATGTTGGCGTCGGGTCACTATGTGACTTATCTGAGGCTTAAAGGGTTGTGGTATAGATGTGATGATGCTTGGATCAATGAGGTTGAAGAAGAAGTGGTGAGAGCGTGTGAGTGTTATATGTTGTTCTATGCGCAAGAGAAAGTTATTCAAAAGGCTCATAAGGAGTTGAGTTATCAAGTTATCTCCATGGCTGATGCATTTCCCTTTACTGATTGCTGACTCTTACTTGGCCACAGATTTTGAAGCATTTACCCTTAATACTTTTTTTTATTCATTTAAGGTTTATGCTAGATATTTGAAAGCCAAGTTTAATGATTAAATTACTTTTTTTTTTTCACTATATCAGTGTTCAAAGTTATCACATCCTCTGTTCTACATTATCATCGAAAACGCTATTTAGCATGACTGAAACAATGGAACTTCTGCAGTAAAAAAATCAATTGTGATACACAAAATACAATTGTGTTCTTAGATATCTGAAAGAAACAAAAGAGGTTAAGAGAAATCTTCACAGAAACCACATTCCACACGTCCAAATAATCATCTCATGCCTTGTCTGCGCCAATCCCTGTCTCGCTCTCTGCTTCTATCGTGATCATCTCTCTCACGACTTGAGCTCTTTTCTCGGCGTTCTCGGGGGACCTTGTCTAAATCATGCTGTTGC